GGGGGGGGGGGAACCAGAACAGCTGGACCTGGTGTCCTCCCAGAAAAGACCAGGGAGACGCCATGAGGCGCAGCCAGGGCACCCGCCGAGTCTCCCGGGCCTTTGGTTGCAAAGGGAAGGCAGCAGTTCCTGTGAGCAAGGGTCAGGGTGCTCCTGCCGACACAAATGCAGGCTGGGGAAAGAATGCCAGAAAATTCAGAAATGGGCTGCAGACCAAGGCAAGGTACCCTTTAACAGGATCAGCTTGTAGAGGCATCTGTTAGCAGTCTCTCTGAAATAGGCTTCGAGAAGAAGAAAAAGGCTAATAAGATATCTGTTATATTCAAAACACACACACACACACACACACACACACACATAAAGTCTATATAATATGAATGGCTGCCTGCCATTTTCTTAAAGCTATAGACAAGAGCCACTTTCTGGACCAACCAATGGTGGGAAGGGTGAAATCTGGAGATAAGAAATTCCTGATAGGAGAAAACACACCAAGGAACCTTTGAGAAAGGATTTTCAAGGCCAAATGAGTCACACGCCTCACCCAAGACTTTGCAGATCAAAACTTCCAATTCCGCTCTGGCTGGGTGGCTCAGTTGATGACAGCATCGTTCCATACATCAAAAATCAATAAAAAAACAACAAAAATACCATATTCTCAGGGAGGATTTAAAAACAAAAAACAAAAAAAACTTCTAATTCCATCTGTGGGAACCTGGTGACATGTGAGCAGGCTGTGCGGCCACAGCAGCGCCAGCTGGGCACACAGCTCTCCTCTGCTCCTCCAATTGAAGACGTGGGACCCTGTGGCTCTGCACCACACTTGTCCATACCTCACACCTCAGTCTTCCCATTCTAAAACATCTCCCCCTCAACCTCAGATTGGGCAGTAAATAAACATCTCCCTCCCCAAAACACCTGCCAGGTATTCCCTTCCAAAACCCAGCCCTGAGCACACACCATCCTCAAGTACACATACTGTGTTATTTCCAAAATCTGAATTTTGTTTTGTTCTCACTCTCGTTTGAGTAGTTTGCCGGCTCCACTTTCCAAATTTTCCTTCTCAATTTCCCAGTTTTCTTTTCTCCAACTGGCTGAGCCTGAATTAATGTACATGCAAAGGTAACTAAAACAGGGTAACTTGTTACCTTCTGGGCACTTCACTCAAGCCTGGGAAAATATGATCATTCCACAAACATCCAATCATTTATTAAGGACCTCCAGGACAGAAATGGAGAGGACGGGTGGGGACATTGTCAAAACAAGAAGGAAAAATAAACTTTGTTAGAGTATAGACTAAAAGAAAAAAGTGGGAGGACTCATTTTCAAAAATTATACAATCATAACTGAAGGGACAAATGCCATTAGAACATCAATAACTAGAAATGCCTTTAGAAATATATTTCTATCATCAGGTATTACTTAGAACTGTTTTATCATAAGTGGTGAATGAAGCAGGTAAGTTTTAAAATTCTGTTACAACTTTAAATATTTTTGAGTGGAGGCAGCAAAATGACTTCAAGTTGGATTTATTATTCAAGGCAAATAAATCCTTTTGCACCTACCAAGAGAGCTGGAACAGGAACCAGAAGACGTCCACTGACTTCCCTGGACAAGACAACTAGGGGATCCCAGCCAGCACAACCCCTACCACCCCACCCCACTCCTGCCCTGAAAAGACTGTTTTAAAACAGTACTAATTAATAATTCATTTTATTAAGAATCAGGGTTTCTAATACACATAAGATATAACCAATAGTAACCACAATGAGCTGATAAAATCCAACCAACAGCAAAAAACTGAACATATCAGCTGGTCTGGGGAAGTCTCCTCTCCAGCAGGCAATGCGCATTTCTGCCAGGCCTTCCAAAAGGCCCACGGAAGCTCTGAAGTCTCCACCTCAAAAGCCACAGGCTATAGCTGGCGTGGCTCAGTGGTTGAGCATCGACCTAGGATCCAGGAGACTGTGGTTCGATTCCCGGTCAGGGCACATGCCTGGGTTGCGGGCTTGATCCCCGGTAAGGGGTGTGCAGGAGGCAGCCAATCAATGACTCTCATCATTGATGTTTCTATCTCTCCCTCTCCCTTCCTCTCTCTAAAATCAATAAAGATATATTTAATAAAAATAATTTTTTTAAAAGCCACAGACTACTCAGTATGGAAGGGGACACTCACTCTTCTACAGTTCTACTAGGGAAGGTTCTTTATGCCACAGAATCTTTACTAGAAATGGAACCTGTTGTTTCTGCCTGTGTAATATCCATATTCCTTGTCTTGGAAAGAGCGTTGGCCCTCCAGGGGGAAGTGACCAGGAGCAGACCCGGCTCAGGCCCAGTCACTCAGAGCACCACAAGCTGCCAGCCATACTGGCTAGACCAGGGGCCAGGTGACAATCCATACTGGACCACCTGGAGACCTCTCTGGATGGGCCCTGAAACTACTAGGAAGCCAACAAGGTTGTGAAGCTGCTGATGCCACCACTGGGCCAGGCTTTACCTAAGTCTGAAGCCAGCACAGAAGCAAGCAAGCAGCCAGGACACAGAGAAGGAGCAAGACAGACCATCCTTTGAACCTCTCCTTGGACTTAGCTGCATGAGCAACGCAGTCACTTGTAACCAGCAGCAATGTGTGTTTCTATCATCTGCAACAGCGAGTTCTGTGCAACAAGTACCCAGGGTGGAGGAAAGCCAGCAACAACCAAGCAACAAACACACAGAGCACTGCCTGCCTCCCCGAGCCTCCAGAGGGCCTCTGATACAAGTGCAGGGAGCAGCCTGGCTCTCCTTGACACACCTAACCATGGTCACAGCTGCAGGAGGAGCATGTCCCTCCCAGGAGCACAGGTACCTCCAGTCAGAGCCTGGGATCATGGCTCTTTCTGAGAGTGGCTTATAATGGTGACCACCAACTAACAGGTGAATCACCACATTTGCAGGGTCAAGCAGGGGGAAAAAATTCTGGCATATTTGAAAATAGGGTAATTCAAAGGACAGTGTAGCCTGAAAATAGACTAAAACAAACAAACTAAAAAAACCTAAAAAAC